TCGTTCAGAGGTTATTTCCACCAATACCGTCGTTCTGAGGTTATTTCCACCAATGCCGTCGTTCTGAGATTATTTCCACCAATGCCGTCGTTCTGAGATTATTTCCACCAATACCGTCGTTCTCAGGTTATTTCCACCAATGCCGTCGTTCTGAGATTATTTCCACCAATGCCGTCGTTCTGAGATTATTTCCACCAATGCCATCGTTCTGAGATTATTTCCACCAATGCCGTCGTTCTCAGGTTACTTCCACCAATACCGTCGTTCTGAGGTTATCATTTCTAGGTCCTGGGTTATACGTCCCTACAGCCCCCATCCCCAAATCCTCCAGAGTCCTCACACAGATGAAACCCATCTAGCTGGCTCTGACTTACGGCGACCCCCTCGGTGTTACTGAACAGAACCGCTCCAGAGGGTCTTCTCTGGCTGCAGTCTACATAAGATGACCACCACCTTCTTCCAAGGTGCCACTGGGGGCATTTGAACTGGCAACCTTTTGGGTAGCACAAACCATCTGCTCCCCTGACCCACCACCAGGGTTGAGTCTGGACAAAACAGCAGCAGACTGCAGGGGACACATATTTAAAGAGAGTAAGTAACTGGCCCAGAGCGGGTCGGCAAGACAGCCAGCCACGAAGACAAGCAGCTCTAAGCAGATGGGTGTCAGGTCTTTGAGCTTTGGGGCCAGTCTTCCGCCTGAAATCCCAGGGACGAGGAGTAAAAGGCCATCCTCCCGCTGTTCCCTGGCTGCCTGAGCCCCAGCGTGGACGGTGGACAGTGACCCGCCCCACTCACCATAACACTGCAACAAGTCCTGCTCTTCTCTGGGCAGGGCCAGCGCGGAGATCCAACGGAGCTTCTCACTTCTGGAAAACAAGGATCAGAGCCTGGACGGCAGCCCCCAGGGAGGGCCGGGCCAGCTTGCTCAGACATCGGACAAGGCCTTGGACTGGGTTGTTTCCGTTTGACTTAAAGATGGTTCTGTTGTCCGGGCAATGACTTGTATGTACTTGTAAAAACACTACAAGTCTGTGAGTGAATCACAATCGCTGTGTTGTACGAACATCACCACCATTGTGCCCAAATGTCTCCCGTCACCCTCCACAGAAGCTTGGAGTCCCCAGGGGGAGTGAACACTCAACACGCGTGTGCTGAAAGGCTGGTGGTAATACAGTGCTTCAGAAGAAAGGACTGGTAATACACGGCCAACAAACCAGCCACTAAAAACCCCAGGGAGCTCAGTTCTACTCTGACACACACAGGGTCAGCAAGAGTCAGAGCTGACTCAACAGCATGGAGTCCCTGCGCGGTGGGTCTGGGGTCTGGTCCCCCAACAGTACAGCCCATGGGGTGGGTCCGCCAAGCTGTGGCTGTTCCTGGGTTTGGTCTCTCTGTCATGCCCCTGTGGGAGTGGACCAGCCATGCCGTGCCTGGTTTTTCTACGATGTCCCCACTGGGAACAGGGCATGCATGGCCAGGCTCTGGATCCTCTGCCCGGGCTCCAACCCTCCCAGCGGCCCTAAGCGCCGAGCCCAGCCCCGTCTCACTGAGTCTCGGTGCTGAAGAGGAACTCGGCCTGGGTACCCTGGGTGTTATGCAACAGGAAGAGCCGGAAGAGGTTCTTGTGAGCACCGTGCAGCTTCATCTCACACTTCTCCCCTCGGACCTCCGAGAAGGGGGCGTGATCAAACACCAGGAATCGGCTGCCTCTGCAAAGACAGGCCATCTCAACCCAACTTCCCCTCCTCCATTCACCTGCATCACCGCAGAGCCCAGGTCCTCATCATTAGCAACTGCAAATCCCCGAGCAGACCCCAGTGGGCTTTCAACTCGATCTCAATATGATGGCAGCTTGCCACCAGTTTGGCAAACCATTTGTCCAGGGCAACAGACACGTTATACTTCAAAGAGCTCGAGATGCAGACGGCAATGCACTTTCCATGACTGTAGATCTGAAAAGTCTCTGGATGGTGCAAACAGTTAACGTGCTCAGCTGCTAACCAGGAGGCTGCTAGTCTGAGTCAATGCAGAAGTTCTTCAGAGGAAAGGCCTGGGGATCTACCTCTGAAGAACCACACAATGAAAACACTACGGCACTCAGGTCTACTTGGGTCCCTGTGGGTTTGCTGTGAGGCCGAGTTGTCGCAACGACAACCTGTCTGGTTTCACACCTGAGGGGTAGGACCTGGGGTCAGCAAATACAAGCACAGCTAGCTTCTCACACTTCCCACAGACTGTGCTCTCCACAAACCAGAAGTCTGTGGACACCTTGTGTGGAGAAAATCCATTGGTGTCCTTTTCCCTGCAGTGTGGTCGTGCTCACCGCAGCTCAGCCCTTTTCATCACGCTGTTGTGCACTTCATGGGCGACATCCCTTCCCTGTGCACCAGGAAACCACACATGTGAGCATCAACATGCTATGCCTGTGCACCAGAAAACCACAACATGTGACTGTCAGCATAACTTCCCATGAACTGGGAAACCACAACATGTGAATGTCAGCATAACTTCCCCATGCACCAGGAAACCACACATGTCAACATCACTTCCACAAGCACTGGAAAACCAAAACATGTCAACATCACTTCCAAGTGCATGGGAAACCACAACACATCAAACTCACAACACATCAACATCACTTCCACGTACATGGAGAAACCACAACACGTCAATATCACTTCCAAGTGCATGGGGAAACCACATGTAAAACTCACAACACGGCAACATCACTTCCACATGCATGGAGAAACCACAACACGTCAACATCACTTCCAAGTGTATGGGAAAACCCAAACATGTCAACATCACTTCCAAGTGGGTGGGGAAACCACAACATGTCAGCCTCACTTCTACATGCATGGGGAAATCATAAAATGTCAACATCACTTCCATATGCTTTGGGAAACCAACATGTCAGCATCACTTCCATGTGCGTGGGGAAACCACAACACGTCAGCATCACTTCCACAAGCACTGGAAAACCCAAACATATCAACATCAGTTCCACGTGCATGGGGAAACCACAACATGTCAACATTACTGCCACGTGCATGGGGAAACCACAACATGTCAACATAATAACATGTCAGCATCATTTCCATGTGCATGGAAAAACCACATGTTAACATCACTTTCATGTGCATGGAGAAATCACAACATGTCAACATCACTTCCATGTGTATGGGGAAATCACAACA